AAAAAAAAACTAATTATGTAGCTCAATGATTCAATGATCTTGTTTTCCTCTACAGAAAAAAAATAAGTATCTGTACAGATAAAAGTTATAATTCAAGGAATCTAAACTTGAGTGATCATGTTTTCAAATGTCAGAACACCACTTATTCATGCTTTATTTTTATTAATATGTGCAAAGGACAAGCAAAAAGTTAAATGCATGCTCTGACTTACATGTGGAACCCAGTATTTGCTGGAAGTGTTCTGCCAAATTTTTATTAAGCCTACTTCCATATCCAAGACTCACAGTGGCCAATCTAACTTCATTATGGCCTGTGACAATAATCCCAGATTGCCATTAGGGTTCTACCCCATCTCACAAGAGAATTACAAAGTAGTTGCTCACATCATTTAGATTTACAATTGTCAGTAACACAAAGGAAATTCCTGAATTCAATACTAAACAATGAAAATTAGACAGCAACCCTATATCCCCTGGGGAGCTAATGTTCTCAGGCAACCATTCCACAAAGACATTATATTAGACACAACTGCATGGGAACTGTCCAGTTTCTGAGGCAGTCTCTATCCTAAATAGTTTGACCTGTTAGCCACATAAATGTAATTGTACTAGTCAGAGCAACTTTAGTTCAGAATACATAGTTTAGAAGAATAGTAAGAGACAAAAGCACAGATTTACATAAAAAGTATCTACACTTAAATGCTTATATTTCAAACTTTGCAAAGAGTAGCTGTATTTCATAGGATGCAGAGTAAGACCTTGAAACAGGGCAGGATCTACAGAATGAAGAACTGGAGACCCATCCAGGACCACCACAATGATGGGTTAACCAAATGGGGTCAATCCCTGAAAAAAGATGAACCAGGGACAGTAGTCTACGAGACTTGTTTCCACAGATGCCACTTCTCCTTCATGTCCTCCAACCCCACATGCCCAAAGTGCTGACTCACCTGGACCTTCCCTTGCCCTTCTTCCAAAGCAGGGCCCCATGTATTCATGGAGGTTACATGGCAGGTGGAGAAGTAATAAAATCAGTTATGTAAGTTACGCCATACTAAGTGCTAGTTTTTAAATATTGAACACATTGAGAGCTTGTGGTATTCAACCCTGCATGAACATTAATAATCATCGTGGAAGCTTATTGATATTTTTAAAAAATATCAATAACTGCGCCCCACTCAACCAATTAAACCAGAATCTGTGGGAGTAGGCCCAAGAAGCAGCTTTTTTTTTTAAGGTCCCTAGATGATTACAACATACAGCCAGGCAGGAGAACCACTAGTATAGAATGACCAGGGGGTGTTATTTGTTTCAGTTGCTAAAAGGATGACCTTTTCAAAATGATGTTTGAATTATCCAGTCAGGACAACCCAATTCCGGCGCAATAGGGACGGCTGACCCCAGTTCTGTGATTTACCCCTTCGTTTCCTTTCTCAGTAACAAATAATAACACTCTATCAGCCCCAAAGAGATTGTGAGGGTAACAGACATGGAAAAAAAAAAAAATACTAAGAAAGTCAAAGAAAAGCAGAACCTTTGCTGTGAATAGAATCTCTGGTCAGAAGCCAAAAAAAAGAAAGAAAAGAAAAGAAAAGCAGAACCTAAACACTACGAAGAAATTGTATGCTGCTGCCTCCACTCAGACAATTATCGGGGTCTGGGAGTCCTGCCAGTTTCAAATATATCCTAATGTTCCAAATGACAATTAACCACAGTGAGGAGGGAGGAGCCCCACCAGAGCAGTGTGATTCTTTCCCTTTAGGATATGTGGCCACAATCCCCCTTTAACGTAGATAATGGAAAGCAAGGAAAATTTACAATTTCACATAAATGTTGCATAAATCCTGCCTCGGAACCCTTCCTATCACCACCCTAGTTGGCCTTACATCAGGCAGAAATGGGCAACAGGCCAGGGTCTCCACATCATACTTTGTAAAGTTACACTCCTTTCTCCCCATACGACCTGAATCTGATGTCCCCAAACGGCAGCTCAGTAAGGCCAGAACAGTCCACCGTGTGACAGCAGCGCCAGCCAAGAGGCAGCTGGTGCCCAGAGCAGCGATGAGCCGAGAGACGTGAGACGGGCAGCGAGGCGTCGCCAGGTCCTCTGCGCCGGGTGAGTGGCGGTGCCCGGGGGACGCGAGCCTTTCGCGGCGGCGCGGAGGTCCGGACTCCACCGAGCCCAGGAAACTGAGGATGGAGATGCCGGCTCCCAGCCCCGCCCCGCCCCGCCGGTACCCGCCTCGCCTTCAGCTTCCCAGCTGCGACGCTGTGGCAAACCAGGGCTCCAGGGCTGCCGACGCCTTCCAGCCGGGCCTCCCCTCCCTGGCCCCTGCGACCCCGGCCACGACCCCGGGGCTGCACCCTCCACACGGGGCTGGGGACGCGGGAGCTGATGCGCGCGGAGGAGGGCTTCGCAGCCAAGGGGCGCGCTAGAGAAGGCGCGCAATGGGTCGCTCCGCCCGCAGCGGCCCCTCCCGGCGCCCGCACGCAGCCCGCGTGCCGCACTCACCTCCGGGACCCGCCCCACCCCTTCGCTCTCCGGGCGCCAAGGATCCTGACGCCCGGGTCGGTCGCCGCTGCACCAGGCCGCGAGCCCCCCACCGCTTCCTCACCCGGCGACGTCTTCCTCCCTCCGACCCCCGGCTGCGATTGGTGGAGCTCCGGCGGGGGCGGGCCGAGGGCGTTGACGGACAGCAGCGCGCGCCCGGCGGAGCCCGCAGGCCTGGAAGCGGAGGCGGCGCCCTGGCGCTCCTGGCCGCCGAGCTCCGCGCGCGACGCGACACTGCAGCTGTCGCCCCGTGGCCCGAGGTCTCGCCCCTCTCGCGACCCACCTCGTCGTGGCCTTCGGACATCAGGGCTCTCCTGGGAGCATCCACCTACCTCCAGGGTTGAAGCGTGTCAGCGGCAGTGCCCGCACCGCAGCGGACTCCAGCGGGGCAGCCTTTCCGGGCAGTGCAGGAATGCGCTGTGCCCTGAACGGAGAAGCGCGGTCTGCAGAGTGTGAGCGCGGACAGAGCGGATCCTTGAATCTTCCCTTGCCTTGAAATTAGTCCACAGCTTCTATTCGCCAGCGAAACAGCCTGTTCTTTACCCTCACTGTGCATGATGTGGGTCGCTTTCCTCACCCCACCATCCCCAGTTCTCGGTTATTCTATTTTGGACATTTTTCTAACTGGTAAAACGTCGGTAGCAGTTAGGTGAAATTCAGGAACTGAGAGAAGTCCTTAGAAGACAACACTTAAGAAACCCGAAGGGATGTGGGCTGCCCTCTCAGGGCAGGGAGCACACTGGGGCTAACACAGGCCCCAAAGGCAGGCCTGCCCCCGTACTATTATCCAAGGTTTAAGAAATAATTACCATACATGATAACTAAGTATTTTTCTGTTTCTTGACCATAATGGACTCTGCGTGCTCATTCAGATGTGTTTCATGGCAGGCCTGCATCGTGGGCAACCTGATCCGCGAATGGGATAAAGGGAAGTTCTGCCACAGGGTGAAAGATCTCTTCCCTAGTAACAATCTGATGCTCCTTCTTCCTCGAGGAAATACCGCACACTGGGGACTTTTGAGGACATAAAGGTAGCTTCCTTCCACTATCAAAGACGAGCCCCATATAGTAGATCTCCCAGAAGGATCCCCACCTCATGTGCAGTTTGGCTGTCTCACAAGTGGTAAAATACTTAGGACAAGATGACTTCTAGGTCATGGTTTTGGACCTCGTTGACCCCATTCTCCCCCAAGCACTTATAACCCTCAGGCATTTGAGTGATCTTGCCTATATTTACCCATATTTTGTAGTCATAACTACAAATAAGAGCAGTCCCGATCAGAGAACCCCAACCATCACTACCGGTTTCTTAAAAGATTCCTCACTGCAAAGTCCCCACACTCCCAACTCAGCACGTTCAGTGAAGAATACTGTCACGCAGAGTATGCACTTTGGATCCTAGCCTACCTGGATCTGGACCACAGCTTTGCTTCTTACTAGTAGTGCCGTCCTAGGCAAATTATTTAACTTCTCTGAACTCGTTTGCTCTACTGTAAATTAGGAGCGACACCACTGAATGTTCGTTTATGATCATCTCACAGCCTGGCATGAGGGCTCAAAACCTGTAATCGCAGTGCTTTTGGAGGCCAAGGCAGATGGATTGCTTGAGCTTAGGAGATTGAGACCAGCCTGGGCAACATAGTGAGACCCCGTCTCTGCAAAAAATACAAAAATTCACCAGGGCAAGCATGATGGCTCACACCTGTAATCCTAGCACTTTGTGAGGTCAAGGTGGGAAGATCACCTGAGGTCAGGAGTTCAAGACCAGCCTGGCCAAAATGATGAAACCCCGCCTCTGCTAAAAATACAAAAATTAGCTGGGTGTGGTGGCACACGCCTGTAATCCCAGCCATTCGAAAGGCTGAGGAAGAAAAATTGCTGGAACCCAGGAGGTGGAGGCTGCAGTGAGCTGGGATCATGCCACTGCACTCCAGCCTGGGTGAGACTCCATCTGAAAAAAAAAAAAAATTTACCAGGCATGGTGGTGCACGCTTGTAGTTCCAGCTACTCAGGAGGCTGAGGTGGGAAGATAGCTTTGGCCTGGCAGGTTGAGGCTGTAGTAAACTGTGATCATGCCTCTGCACTCCAGCCTGGATGACAGAGCCAGGCCCTATCTCAAAAAAAATAAAGGTTTATATGATGATATGAAACCTAAGGAACTAGTAATTTCTTTCCCATCTGCAAAAGTGATTTAGACACTCGTGTTTATTAATGCTATGCTTTATTCTCTAAGCAAAACAAAGCATGGATCTTAAGAGTAGACAAATAGCTGGGCACGGTGGCTCACGCCTGTAATCCCAGCACTTTGGGAGGCCGAGGCGGGTGGATCACGAGGTCAAGAGATCGAGACCATCCTGGTCAACATGGTGAAACCCCGTCTCTACTAAAA